TAAATTATGTTTTGTTTACTAAATGATAGTAAATGCAATTTTTGTCCTGGACCAATGTCATGAATAGCCTGAAGCACAGAAAATCTTAATGAATTCGGCGAGCTTCAATCGCAATCGCCTTTCCTCCAGAACAAGGGGTGATCTGAATAACTTTCATCATTACATTATACCGTATTGGCATTACTTACAGGATAGGTTTAGCCCATCCCCCGTTATACATCATAGAATCCGCCTCTGGCCAGTAAACAGTGATGATGTTGTGATTATGTGAGCGAAGACTCCATACTTCTTTACTCGAAGATATTCACCAAATAAGTGGCTTAAAATATTTAAGTTCAAAACTGTATCTCAATATTAAAAAAAAGGAAACCAGCGAACTGCCAATGTCACAGTGACGTGTCGTAAATTGGAAGATTTCGTTTGGCAATTTATTGATTCGATTAATTATCACTTTACGCATGATTCTCTCTGAAAATAACAGGGCTGTATTAAATATTTAACATGTCGAGCAAGAATAAGTCCAGTGATGGCTTGAATAAAGGTAAAGGCGGTGATTCAGTGTGGAAGAAAGCCTTTACGTCTCAAACGGAATGGCCAGACAAGGTTAGTTTTCATATCACGAGACTCGTAAGAAGTCCTAAAAAACTTGATGGATATAATAAATAATACACTTCTCGCTTACAGGAAGAATTTCTAGACGTTATTTATTGGATGCGGCAAGCTATAGGAATAATATTAGGCTTAGTTTGGGGTGTACTGCCTTTAAAAGGATTCCTGGGTCTTGTACTGTAAGTTTCTTAAGTTCCTAAGATATTGTTTGCCTTTTTATATTTGGGATACAGTCCTTAAAATCTGTATTCTCATATTCCAGATTTTTGCTTGTGAACGCGGCGGTAATATACATTTACGTGAATAACTTCCAAAGTGTTGATGAAGATGAGTTTGGAGGGACATGGGAGATCACCAAAGAAGGATTTATGACTTCATTCGCTGGGTTTTTGGTAAATACATTTAAATTCAAGTCTATATTCCTAGTTCCTACTGTAAAATTGTAGTAGGCTAAGAAAAACAAACTTGATAAAAGATTATTCTTGTTTGCTTTACCCAGTTTAGAACTGATAAGAGATTTAACTTTAGACATAGTTTTGTAATAGTCTGCTATTAAAGTTAAGTACTACATAAACCATTTGTGGAATTCTAGTTACAAACACTCAAGTTATCTTTACTGTAACCCTAAATTGAAAATTAAGATGTTAATTGTGTCACTTTTTTTCAGGTCACCTGGATTATAATGTACACAGGTCTCCACGGCAGCTTTAGTTTATGAGGCTTAAGGAAACATTAATGAGTGCACCAAATGTATTACGCCAAGATGAACTGCCAAGAGATTTGTAGTACAAAAAAGTGGGAATGTGTTTTATCATTGTGTACATGCTGTAAGGGACATTATCATGCTAACTTGTAACTAAAGGATGGTTGACATGTCTTCAATTGTCTAGTTATAGTTCTAAATGTATTGTGTATCGGAATGAACTACTTTTAAATCCAGTGAAGCAATAATTTTAAAAATATATTTATTTTATTGCATTTATTATCTCTCTGGAGAAATCAATAATCATTTAAGTTTTAGCGAAATTATTTATGATCACATGTAATTTAAAGAACAGTTGATATATGAAGGATATTTCTATTATAATCTGGATATGGATGGTGTTGTGAGGTGACAGTATTTTGCATTTCTGTAGCATGTATCAAATATGACAGCAGAGCAGAATATTAGTGAATAATTGTTAAGTTTTATCAGATGTTTTACAGGGTTAAGTCAACATTTTGTTTTGTGCAGAAACTGATGCAAAGGCAATAATATTATGTAGTCTTGTTTGTAATGTTATTTGTTGTGTGAAGCCCTCAGTTTGCAATTAAGTCCTTGTTTTGAACAAATATCAAGTTTATTTGAGTAATTAAATTTTATAATACAAGAGTTGTTGTTTTTTCTAAATATGCTACTTGTAAGCCTATAGAGGCACAATTGTTTTGCATAATGAGTGTAAAGAAAGAAAATAAAAGATTTCCACTGCATTCCAAATGCTGTATTTCAAATACGTTAAAAATAGCTTAAATTCTAAACATTTACACAATAACATGAAAAGTACACTTAATACTAGACATCAATACAGATAAATATATGGCCCCTAGAATCTAATCGTCCCTCCACGTAACAAGAACGTCGTCGGTACGGAATCGCTGCGTGATCGTGGCTTCACTCATCGGCATGCGTGTTCCCGACTCATGTGCCAGCGCTCCCGCGTACGCAATCATCACTCCGTTGTCTATGCAAAAGCGTTCGTCTGTCGCGAACAGAGTGCTGCCTCGTTCTGCGCACATGATGCCCATCATTTCTTGTAAGCGCTCGTTGCAGCCGACTCCGCCGACTATGAGAACCTGGAGATAAAAACACTTGGTCATAGCACAAGAACACAGGTCTTCTGTTTTTTGGTGGCACAGACAAGGTTACCACTGTGCCATCTTGTACAGTGCCAAACTTATACTCTGTGCTGTTGATTGTCCTACTTGTGACCTACTTCAGAGGTAAATCAAAATTATGTAGACTAACAAAAAGGTTTGAAGTTCTCAACTAAAAAACTGATCTATCTCATCATCATTTCAGCCATATGACGTCCACTGCTGAGTATAGGCTATCTATTGCAACATAGTTCAAGTTCCAGAAACACCAATTTAAAATGGAAAGCCATTAAATATACTTTTGATTATAACATTCTTCTTAAAAAGTAAGTACCCACCTCATCAGATCCACAGTGGGCCATGGCTCTCTCCGTAATCTCCACCAACATAGCAAACACAGTCTCCTGCAGTGAATAGCAGAGGTCTTCAGGAGTGTACTCCTTTAGGAGTTCGTCTATCTTGTCCTCCATGTACGACAGAATACCTGAGAAGCTTACATCCATACCTGTAATTTTAAATTATTAAATAAAAAGTTTTTATTTCCACAACAACTTTTAAATTACCTACATTTAATTCTGTAATTTAAAATGAAACAGCTAAGAGATAGCATGGGATTGAACAAGCTGTGGGAGTCATGAATTGAATGATTTTAACATAATTATTTAGAAATGTTAAATATGTTTTTATTACCTTTTACACTATAGGGAAGGTGTAAATATTTCTTCCCTAATTTGGCTGCCTGTTCAATATTATACCCTGGGCTTGGTTCATTTGATAATTTTAATACTCTTGCAAATCTGAAAGAAACAAACATTTTAAAGTCCTATGAAGCAAAGTATTATTCTTATTAGAAATTCTGTTAATAAATTTTTAATAGTAATATTTGATTTGGAATACATTTCATGGGAATACATTGTCATTTTAGTAATAAATACAGTAGGACGCTGATTATCCGAATTAATTGGGACCGGGGTCGATTCGGATAATCGAAAATTCGGATAATCGGACATAGACTGGTAATAAAGAAAAAGCGTGTTAAAAACGAACTGTCACACATAGAATAAACTTTAATAACTGTATTTTACAGTTCTACAATTACGTTCAGTTAAAATATATCTAGACTCCTGCGAGTTCCAACTTGTTACAACAAAACAAAATAAAAATTACTTGGTTTTAATTTTTAATATTACGCTTAGGACCGATTCGGATAATCGGCGATTCGGTTAATCGGCGTTCGGATAATCGGCGTTCTACTGTAACAGTATATTTTTAACTGTACGAGATGCTAAATTGCCTCTTGCCTATCCAAGCAGTTTCCTACAGCTATGTCGATAGTCTCCCCAAATATTTGGTATCTTTTCCTGGAGTACGCTATAACTTGAGTGTTTCCTCCACTCACATACAGTACTGTTGGATTGTTTGCTTTGGTTATGAGCCGACCCATTTCTATGTCTGGTTTTGAATGATGTAAGGATTGATATTTGTAAGTAAGTTGTAGGATAAAGTTTTATTAGCTACAAAAGAGAACATCTTTGTATTTATAAAAAATCTTGGGTGATAACTATTATTGTATTTTACCAGTCTAAACTTCTGTAATCAAAGATCTGTGTAAAATCATTGTCAAATTGGCACTTTTTATTATTATGAAAACCTTCTGTTTTTTTAGTTGTAATAAAAAGGATACGTCCAATGCAGTGGTTGACTCCCATGATAGGTTTGTTCCACAGTTTGGCGCATGTTCTCGCGACTATAGCACCGACCATCAGCGGTGCGCCCATTCCCGGACCCTTGGTATAACAGACCACGTCAATGTCCGCGGGACTGACGCCCGACTGGTCCAGAGCCACCTGCAGGACCTCATGGATGTTTGCCTGGTGATGTTCAGCTGTTTCACGCGGTAGGAAACCTGCATTGTCAGATTTGTAACAAATATTTTTAAACTATACAACAATGACAAAGATCATGTTTTTAACGCAATTCTGGTAAAAATGAGGAGCTTTATTAGTAATAATACATGGAAAAGGTTATAGAGATCAAACAGTCGAAAGGAAATGTATTAAAAGTGTGTATTTAATTGAAAAAATAGATAAACACAAACATAACCTTCTCCGGGCGGTGTGATGTATGTTCTCCGGCAGTTAGCCAGAATTTCGCCGTCTTTGACGATTCCAACGCCAAGCTTGTTAGCGCTTCCTTCAAAGCCTATAGCCACAACCATCTTCAATAAATAATTAAAGCAGAAAAGAAAGAATCATGAAAAATAACAATGCAGGTTTTTTTCTTCACAACTCGCACAAACTGTCAATGTCAAATTGTCTTTTTTTTATAAAAGCTACGGGCTACAGCCTTGGATCTCATCCATACAGCCATGTTTTTTTAAATTGTAACTTGACGCATTGGAATTTTAGCCATAAAAATTACTCAACTGCAAGCAAAAAGGGCTAAAGACCAATGGTGGATGCTGCGGGTTGGTTAACAGCAAACAATTAAGACTTTTGTAGAAGACCTATCTGTAAACGTAATAAAACTCGCTAGCATTACCATATCCATGTCTTTATTTACTGAATCATATTATAATTGAATTATACATATTGTATTTGTATAGGAAAATCATAAACTTATTATTGACAATAGCATAGCAATCACAACTTTAAGCATTGGCACAATTACATATTCTTACAAACTAAGCTTCTGTTTTTTCGTCATTGATTTCATCAACAAAATCCGCCAACATGTCTTCGACGGTTACATCTTTCCCTGTCGTTTTATCTGTGACAGCAGCAGTTTTCTCTGGAGATTTATCTCCATTCATTTTAGGCACTTCATTTTCTTTATTATCAGCTTCTTGTGAATTCTTCACCACTTGCCCGCAAGTTATAGGAATATCGTCGGTTTCGTCCGTGCACGGTAGATTGTCGTCTTCCGGTCCATCAAGCCTGGTGACTTCTTTTCCTGTACAAGATAAGTCATAAGCCACTTCCATCGAATGTTGACTGTTCTGCTCTTCATAGAAGTTGGCAGTCTTTGAAGGAAGCTGAGTGTTAAGTGTGTAGATATTGGAATAAGGAGCGTCGGTGGTGTCTCCTTCTGTACTAATAGTACTTTCTCCAGTTCGCTGGGCTGATTCACTTCCATTAGCAGTGGTATCCCTACTTTCGTCGTCGTTTCTGGTTCCTTCGCTCGTTAGCGTCGTCGTTTCATCATGGCCTCCGTCTATTTGCTGAGGTTTTATTGTTTCCTGAATCGTTGCTACCGTTTGTATTGCTGCTTCAGCTGGTAAAGGGATATCATGTGTATAATAATATAAGTCAGTTGGGTTTCCATTAGTGTCAGCTGTATTTTCATTGGTGACAGCAATATTCTCATTGGTGTCAACTGTGTTCTCGTTTGTAGCAGCTACAGTGGTATCAGCAGTGTTTTCTGACGATTCAGTTAGTTCCACGCATTTCTCCGCTGGTGTTTCATGTTCTACATCGTCTTCGACTTCTTGCACGTCGCTGTCGTCATCGCTGATTTCTACTGAGCTTGCCGAATCACTGCTGACGCATATTTGATCAGCAATTTCGATTCCATCGTCGACAAGGCGCGGCTTCTTCTTTGACGGCTCGTCGGAGATTGTTATTACTTCTTGACTAGCTCCACTCGCCACAGATTTTTCTGACGGTACTCTGAAATAAGAATTTAAGTTAATTTTATTATTCAGTGTTGTCCTTAGTATGTTAAATTATGTCTTCATGAGCTGGAATATGCAGACCCTTTTCCAGACTAGGAGATAAATAATTTAGAAACTTATAAAATATCTGGAATTCTGGATCTACTATGGTCGTTTGTATACAATGTCGCCGGTCGCAAGTGACCGCCCAAAAATATCGAGTACATAATAAAATATAATCATATAAATAAAAATTTCGGTTGGTCACTTGCGCCTGGCGACATTGTATAACACAGCAACTGAAAGATTGTTCAGAATTTTTTTCATAAGACATGTTACCAAAAGCTGAACGTCTAGTATTGTCTATGGTTTCAAAAGTCCACAGAAGGTTCTTCCCACTCACTTGTCAGCTCCCAGCAGAGCCTCCAACGCCTCCCTGTTCCTCGAAGACAGCTTCTTGTTGCTGGGCGGGCGGCGCGCAGTGCAAGTAGAAACGAATGTCTAGCAACGCTTGCGAGCAGACCTTTAATATGGCCACTCACTTGTCAGCTCCCAGCAAAGCTTCTAACGTATCTCTGTAGGAACGTCTAGGAAGAAGACAGTTTCTTGGTCTTGTTAGGCGGCAGCTGGGCTAACAGCGCGCTTGCAGGTGTAGGCGAATGTCTAGCAGCTTACTCTTTTCTTATAGGTTATTAAACCTTTGTCACCTGTCATCCGCTTTACAGTGGAGGGAAGTCGCCATAACTGACGGAGCACAACATTGTTGTGTTCCGTCAGTTAGAGGTAAGATAGCCAGTTCCTCCGTGGTTGAGGATTCCGGGTGAAGCTCGCTTCCACCTTCGGCCTGATCGTCACTTACCATCAGGTGAGATACAGGCCAAGAGCTTCCTCGTTGTGGATAAAAAAAAAATTCGAACTCCTATGTTGCGGGTCCAATGTCAGTTAACTTTCGCCCGGGACAAACTTGACCTTCACTGGTTGGGTTTTTGGCGGACAAGTTGTAGATCCTGGCTAAACAGGAGTTGCAGCGGTGGGAATAGTCATTTTCCAGCAGCGCTTGCTAACATTATGGCCACTCACTTGTCAGCTCCCAGCAGAGCCTCCAACGCCTCCCTGTTCCTGGAAGACAGCTTCTTGTTGCTGGGCGGCGGCTGGGCGGGCGGCGCGCGGGCCGCGTAGCTTAGCGAGGGCGGCGCACAGTGCAGGTGCAGACGGATGTCTAGTAACGCTTGAGAGCAGAACTTCGATATCTGGAGAGATAGTATTTGTTACACACCACGAAAAAACAGATATAAAATTTTTAACGGTACATGGTTAGACCTTGCAAGGAGGATCTTGGAATAGAGTAGAAGTTATTTGGAATATCTAGAATCAGGCAATGCACGAGAAGTTAGATTGATCGAATTTTATTAATCAGAATTCAAATTTAATTATTATAAGAAGGAAAATGCTGATGCAGTGCTGGATGCGGGCAGCGCAGGACTAGTCGTTATGGAAATCCTTGGGGGAAGCCTTTCTTTGTCCAGCAGTTGACGTCATTTGGCTCAAACGAACGAACTAAAGAAGGAAAAATAGTGAATCATACGAGGTTTTATTTGCTCATTCATTTGTATATTCCCTCAGAACTTTTAATACAGATACTACATCGCTTGTAGCACCACTGTGCCACTTACTGACTGGGCTGACCGAGTTTCTTGCGCTGCTTCTTTTCAGGACTGGCCCATTTATTTTCAGGAAGCAGTGGTAGGGTTAATACTGGGACGTGTAAAAGTGCTTTTTAAAAGCCTATTTGCAAAAATTAATGAGTTTTATGAGTTTTTTACCTCGCCCGCTCTGCTGACAAGCCCACTGTACAGCTGCAGGCAATATTGTGTGGGTGCTGGAACATCAGGGGGCGTGGTCTTCCTTAGGGCCTCCAGTACTCTGATTAGACCCAAGGCCCACTCGCTGGAGTGGCGCCCCTATGACTCTTATAACGCCTAAGGCCCGCTAGTGGCGTCCCTACTTCGCTTATAGCACCACTGTGAGACTCACCTCGCCCGCTCTGCTGACGAGTCCGCTGTACAGCTGGAGGCAATATTGTGTGGGTGCTGGAACATCAGGGGGCGTGGTCTTCCTTAGAGCCTCCAGTACTCTGATTAGACCCAAAGCCCGCTCGCTGGAATAGCTGTCTAGGTTGTAACATTCGCGGACTAAGCGCTCTTGGAATTGCTGTAAAAGAAATGGGCAAAAATTGTAATTAAAAAATCTTTTTTTCAAAATCAAAATTGTCTTTATTTGTTTAGACTAATTAAATTAGTACTTGCAAATCGTCAAATGCTCTTAAGGAGCCTATACATGTCTAAAGAATGAGACAGCCCTACCAGCGCTTCGAGACAAACATTTGGCATGTGCTGAGAAGAAGCGCCGCAACAAACTCAGTCACCGCTGTCTGCCGGTTTAAAAATATAAAAAAGTAGGAAGTTACAATACATTCAGAAGCAAGTTACTTACCAGTTACCACGCGCTCCCGTTGATAGAAGGTGGCCTTTAAGACTCCCATCTAGCACGAGACCGCGTGGCAGTTTTCAATATATTTCTTTAGTGCCGTGCTAATTTCTAGGTCAATTGTTTAAATTACTTGCCCTATAACTATCACTGTTATAACATAGTTTTATTTAATAAAAAATGTTTCGTCACTTTCTGTCGAATGGATGGATGGATTTTACTAAGAATGAAAGAGACAAAACAGTAGGTAATAACTGTTGTTACCTGATGTGTAGTAGGTTTCAAGAAGACGCCACATACAACAAAGAAAGCCTCAGCACAGTCTAGCGCTGATAGTGCGATTTCATCGTTGGTTTTTTCTGACCTAGACATACAAAAAAATACATTAATTTCAAATTCACATAAAAGATTCTTGTCAACGTTTTTTTTTGCGATAAGTTATCTATACTAATATTATAAATGCGAAAATAACTCTGTCTGTCTGTCTCTCTTTCACGCCTAAACCACTGAACCGATTTTAATGAAATTTGGCATAGATAGTTTGAGTCCCGGGAAAGGACATAGGATAGTTTTTATCCCGGTTTTTGAAACAAGGACGCGCGCGATAAGTTTAATAAACAATGCTGTTTCTGCTATTTTATAGTCTAAAATATCTTAAAGTAATATAACTTACACAGAGATTTTGTTTTTCTCGCCAGGAGAGTGGGAGGCAATACTACTCTCTAGTAGCATGGAGTTGGCAAGCTTCCTTTTAGCTTTCTTGCTAAGGTTTTTTGTGGACTGGTTGCTCATCTGAAGGAGAGAATAAATAGATTATTATTGATGACTCTAAACGTTTATAAGGCACACGTGTCGAGGACTCTGCTAATCGATGCGTCGCGTATAGATAGATCAACGTTGAGACGACAAGAGTTGAGGCTATCAACACAAACAAAGATTTGTATCTGTTTATGTTGTCTACACTAACGTCTTGCATAAGTAGTCAAACTGACAAGTGCTTTCTGTCTCGCTTGCACATTTAAAAAGAGCGAGGTAGCTAGTGTATTGAATATTTTAACTTAAAAGTATTGTGTTCTGTATTCAAATATTACATTAGCGTTCGCCTCAACTTTTCTTAAGCGACCTATACACGCCGCGCTGGACTTGGCTAAGGTAGATCATAGGTGAATACTGTCGTCATTGAACTCACAGTGAGCTGCACAATATGCTTGGCCGGCGTGATGTCATCAATAACATGCTGGGTAAGCTCGTCTTCCCAGCTTCGTCCTCGGGAGGAGTCGGCTAACCGATGCGTGGAGAGGGACCGCAGCCAGCGGCGCAGTGTGTCGTAGGCGCCGCGACGGACTTGGCTATAAGGTAGTGTTGCTTAATAAGGCAATGAGGGCTATCGTTTTAGCGCTCACCAGTTAGCGCCACTGTAGAGTAAGGTCCTGTCACTTGCTAGTAGCGAAGACAGTGGCACCAACTGGTGAGCGCTAAAGTGGTAGGAGGACTATCGCATTTGCACTAGGGCATGCAAACCGGTTAACCGGATAACCGAAAAACCGGATAACCGACACAATTTGGAACTCGGTTTTTGTCAGTTATAAAACCGGGTTTTTCGGTTATTTCGGTTCTTCTTCTACGATTTTAGATAATTTAATAACTCATACAAGAACATGCTTCTTTAGTCATATCAATAAAAACAATTATTGTAATGCAATGTGAATGAGTAGAGTATAGTCTATGACTATGGTATTGAACTAAAGTACCATGTATCTTCTAGCTAAAGCTACACTTGCGAGCAAAAGTATGGAATCACTTACATGAAGTTGTTTCCACGCGATCTTGTGTACTAACCAATTTGTTAGTAACAAAAAAAGTAGCACCATTTTAAAGATTAAACTTTTAACTTTAAATTGATACCAAATTCATTTAAATCACACCAGTATTTAAAAAGATATCCCGGCTGATGTGAAGAAGTAAGGAAAAAGACATGTATCAACTGTTTGATACGTCGCGAGTTGCGGCCTATTTACCCCCCATAAAAGCAAGTGTTATCGGATTTTTGCTTTCAAACGTTGATCCATACACATCTCCGCTTCTTTTGACACTTTACCTGGGATTCTACACCTTCAGAAGCAGCACAAATCGTTGCACTATTGCAAGAAGGGCTCAGCCAGCGGGCTGTCGCACGTCAGCTCCACATAAGCCAGTCCTGGGTTTCGAAAGTTTTAAGACGCTTTTGGGAGACTTGTGGCTTTATCCCGAGACCAAGTTCTGAACATTGCCGGTGCACATCGCAGAGGGAAAACCGTTTTTTCATGTCAACTTCTCTACGAAATCGTCATTTGCCTGGTATCGACGTCCAGCAAGAGCTCAGAAATGTTCGTAGGATAGCTGTTAGCAAGTGGACAGTTCGTCTAAGATATTATAAACAATAGAATTTGACTCCAAAAAGGCCTGCCAGAGGCTTGAAATTGACGGCAGGTCACCGATAAGCACACTTTCAATCAGCTCGCACTCGGAATTCTTGTAAGTGATTCCATACTTTTGCTCGCGAGTGTATAAGCGCGCGGGCGCAAAATGGAACGCGCTTTGTATTTGACCATTGCCGCCATTATTTTTGCTTTGCTAGTCTCTGTCAGTGTCAACTTACATATTATTTAATTAAGCATAACTATTACCAAATGTTCTTCTTCTTTTTTGATGATGTTGGCAATACACGTCGAGGTCGACTTGATTTGTGCCATTTTCCAGTATATAAGTGATACGAGTTACAAAATGAGATCAAGTAATGATATAATGAAGGATGATAGATGATACCCTTTCCCACCCTTTGAGTCTCAGTAAAGTTGTGGTGCTTTACTGAGACCTCCTATGGACAACTTGAGAGAACCAGAAGAATCACGATGCACTGTTTTGCTTCACTTGCCCACACCCATGGACGTTCACGAACACTCAATGGTTAATAATCCACCATTATTACACATAAATAGTCGCCCACACACGAATTTGAGAAAATAAAACAAAATCTTGTCAAACTAGAATATAAAAGAAATAAAATGATTTTTATTATAATTTGCAGCATTTTTATTTACTTACAAACAGTCGCCCCAAAAAACCCGAAAAACCCGAAAAAACCGTTTTAGTTCGGTTTTTAAAAATAAAAACCGAAAAAACCGGTTTTTCCAAACCGCTCGGTTTTTGCATGCCCTAATTTGCACTCATCAAGATGGCGCCACTGTAGAGTAAGGTCCTGTCAATCGCCAGGGGTGCCAACTGCTAAGTATAAAAACGATAGCCCTCGTTGAAGCGACTTCAAACGCGCGTGTACAAAACTTGACCACAGAGGTCGTCAAAGAAAACAAGAAACAATTTTATGTTTCATAACAATTTAAAGATGACCCATACTGAACTGTCCCACCAAACTCAATGACAGGGGGCGCTACCATCGTTTAACTATAAGGTTTCCAACATGGCAAAAATCGGAACCAGCGATCCAGTATTGACGGTGGCGCCCCGCTGTCAATGTCATGCATAGGACAGTTAAGTATATTGGAACTATAACAGATTTTTTTTGAATTGACACTGGCACCCATCTCAAAAGGTGCAATGGAATAAATGAATTGTAAGTACATAGTTATGAATCTTGACTTACCTAGATTCTTCATTTACGTTTTCAGAGCTCCATTTCAATGTGAGCATCACAAACTTGAAGACCAAGGCCGAGAAAGGAATAAGATTTGATCCCAAGCTGAAAAACGAATTGGATTTAGTTGGAGTCAATAGCATTAGCAATCTTGTACAATATCTTCCCTACTGTGCAATGTGTGACAATTTAAACCTTACTCACCATGCAATAAGGGCGTCTAATGTCCGTAGAGCTTGAATTTTAACTGAAGCAACTTTTGCCATGTCTTGATTCTGCTTGGCTCCACTTGAAATGCTCAAGGCACGGACTATGACTTCCAGAATTGCTTGGGGTGGAATTGGCTTTGCCACTGGGTAGATTTCTCTGTTAAAAAAAGATTAGGATAATGAAATCCCTGCTTACAAAATCAAATAGGCCTTATATTTGTTAAGTTACTATTTAACAAAAAATTGGCAACTTTATATAAGAGCAACAAAATTAGTAATTTTGTCTTCCATACAAATTGTCTACAATGCATGCAAGAAACTGGAAAAATGCATAAGTAGTATTTGTGAGCTTCATTGTAGACATTTCTTGTTTCTTATTGACTAAATTGATGTATCTTGATTCTCTATTCTATTAACTAGTCTTTTCATATTCAAATGATATTAATATCCCTTTTGAATGCCATGTGACATGTAATAAATATTAGAATCTGAAATGGCACTATCATTTAAAATCTGCCCCATTGTTTCACTTTTTTTATGTGCCAAATAAATTATTCTTTCTTTCTCTTTCTTTCAATATTATTTAACACAGTGTTAGATCTTAGAAAAAAGGTAATTTTGTACAATAACATACACTAATGTAGCTTGAAGGAACACAAAGACATTCCTAAGTCGTGTGTTCAACAGTTGCTGCTTGCTGACACCATTGTCGTGTGCAGTGGGCACCGAGTGGATTTGTTCTAACGCCACGAACAGCGGCAGTGAGGCTGATGACTGCAACTTTAGTTTCTGTAATGATAATGGTAGTATAGTAAACTATTTGTTTAGTTTTATGTTCTATCTGTCATTAAATTAGCTGAAATAACTATTAGACGTTTTCTTCCTTTATTATTGCCCATATTCACAAACATTACAATGAGTATGCATGACACACAAACCAATCACAGGGCTCTATTCAACGCTGTGAGTTCAATTTGCTGCTTCACTTAAGCAAGAATTATTTGTGAATACGGGAATATGAGATTAATGTTGTGTAAAGTTGGTTTCTGTTAGTTGCAATAAATAAATCACTACATTTTAGGACTTTGATGATGATTAGGAAGTAATTATTTATAACTTAATTATCTTAATTAAGTTGTGAGAGAAATACAGAGCAAATGTATCAGTCTTACTTGAATATTTCCAGTGTTCTGGTACATATCCACAGTATTTGGGAACATAGCACTCAGAAGGTTGTGTACTGCATTGTTCAGAACAATCAGGTGTTCCCTCCAGCATGCTTTCGGTGTGGCATTCTTTTCTTGAGATGGCCGCACCTACAAAAGGGAATAATTGTAGACAATAAAATTAAAACACAAAGACATCTTGGCTGTATGACCTATGCCTTTGCTTTTTCCTCGAAAAGAAAAGAAACAAACAAAAAAAAAACAGACATCATCAATATTGGTAAATCTTAAAAATCACAAAATAAGAAAGTATTCTTACTTGTTGTAAAGCATGAGCACATTTTGCTGCTTCAATAACATTAAAATAGTTGGTAGAGTCTAAAAAGTTCGTCAAATATGTCTCAATGGTGTTTCTGTGAGTACCACAGAACTTTGGAAACCTGAAATTAGAATTCTTGTATATTACACATGATCATAATAGATTGTATGCTTTGAATAATCATTTCAAACACATTTATATCTTACGTTTTCTACGACATATTTAGGCTATTTATTACATTACTACATCCTGATTTTTTGAATGATAACATGGAGATTATTATGGTTATAATATTGTTATAGGTTACGATACCGGTTGATGATGTTTTCTAGCGCCTGCAACCACCTATTACTATCTGTAGCTGCATGTTTTGTTAAATTCTGGAAAAATGTTGATAGCACTTCTTTCACTGCATCACTATTGTTAGGATCTACGTCCCGGACTTTGTTCAAAATTTGACCTAAAACATTTGAATAAAAATCAATGTTCCGTGCGTATCAAAAATTAAATAGCTGTAGCAGAAGAATGGTTGCTTACTCATTGTAAGGTTGATACGTATGTTGTTAGAAGATTTTTAATATGACTAATTAAATTAAATATTAACTTTCACACCAGGGCTATGACAGTGTAGTTCCGATGTGTCCGTTTGGCGCTGCAATCGCTCACGCTCCCCGCTCCACCGCACCCCTCTGACGTCTGTCAACTAGGAGGGACGCCATGTTGTTGAATTGACGTTTCTCAAGTAACGTTGTCGAGTGCCGGTGTTTTTAGTGTATTTCCTCGCATTTTGCTGAGTTGAGATCCTAAATATCCAAATTCTCCTTCGTTATTTGATACAGTTATCGTAGTCTTATATAGTGTGCTGCTATAAAGATTGCGAATCGATCGTCATGGGACAATTCAAGTGTTGTGTTGGTGGTTGCAACGCAACTAGTGATACTCATCGACTGTATAGTTTCCCTAAGAACAATGAATTAAGGAACTTGTGGTTGTCGTTTCTTGTGCCTACCAACGCTCTCCTCATCGGGCTCTCAGAAGTTCAGTTGCGCCGAAAACGTGTTTGTGAAAAACATTTCGACAAACACCAGTTTGACATAAACGGTGGAAGACTTCGGCAAGCCTATCCGTGTTTATTTACAGAGGAAGAGATTAAGCACGGAGTACCTCTTTCTGATACTAAACCTGGTAAGTTCTTTCATCGTGGTATTCATCATGAGTTCAACAATAAGCAGACTAATATTGCTTAGTGTTGGACATAAAGAAATTGAAGTCAGACAAGGGTATAACTATAATAATTTCCACTCTGTAATGAAGTAAAGCAGCACCTTTCTTTTGATACATAAATATTAGTACCAACACAAAACTATCGCTGACTATTGATGTCAAAAGCTGTTTCTGCACTGCAGAAGTCAAAAGCATGGGTTGAAGCCCCCCATGTGTGCCTCACACTTTCTTGCTGCTACTTATAGGATATGTTGTGACCCCAATATTTTGAAGATGTTAAAATATCCAGCTTTTGTACAATTTATTATAAATTTTTCCAAATGAAAAATAGATGAGTGTACTAATACTTATTTTTTATGTTAATTATTTCGAAAATGTTATCAAATATTTTACTGTAAATTATATATTTTTTTAATAATTCTTTCAGTGCTTAATGCTTTGGCTGATCACAGTTACTTCAAAGAGAGATCCAATGATGATGATGTTGCAGATAATGTTACTATTGTAAGACCAGGTATGTCATAATAACCTCATCTAATATTGTATTATTAGTTAGTACCTGACATACTTAATTCTTGTGAAATTCACTTTGATCTTAAATGAATTTACTTCATGAAAGGAGAAATTCGATGGTGCAGTGGCTTAATGCTTTCTGCTGTGATATGATGCTATAAACAGTTGCATTATCTTTCAGATCTTTATCTTATCTTCTTTCTATGTTGACACAACTATTTTTATTTAAGTTGCAATTTTATCTTGTTTACCCTAGTTTTGCGAAAGAAAATATCTAATAATTGATACTTATCTTAATTATTGTTGTTTCAGACAACCTTCCCTTAAGTGACCACATTTATTGTAAAGGGACATCTGAAGAGCAAAAAAATGATAAAACAGACATGTTTCCTAAGGCAGGTATGTAATAAATAACCACATTTGAAATTCCCATAAAATAGGGAATAAACAAGATTTATTTTTTCAAATCTAATGTTATCTCAAAAACACATTCAGGCGAAGCTGCGGGAGACTAGTGTATCAATAAACTTTAAGGTTAATAAATCAAAGCTTATTAATATTTTTCAGGTCCCAGTTATGATGTACAACCTTCTTGCTCCTATTCTCAAGATGTATCATCTGTTATAAATCCTCAGAAAGGTATGTTTAATCATAGCTTCTGAAGCTACATGTGACAATGTTTACTCTATTCTAATCTAGCTTAAAACCCCCTGTACTGCTGTTTATCATTATTTCATTACAAATTTCACTTTGTTTGCAGAAAGTACATCTGATCCATCTTCAATGAAAATGGAAAGCAGTAAGAAAGTCAAGAAGTGTAATCAGAACAGTATGTGGTACTTTTCATAAAATGTATTGTAATATCTTTAATATTAAGACTAGAGATATGTATTTTTAAACCAACAATTTTATTTTTAGACTCTAAAATGATGAAAAAGTTTTCATCAAAGAAGAAACGATTCATAAAAGATGTCACAAATATTGCTAGCAAAAGCATAGGTGACACAGCAATCCAAAGAATTGAAAAGGCTGTTCTGAATGGAAAGAATGATGCATTGCTGAAGAATTTTGATTGCTTAAACAAACAAGCACAGACATTTTTACTAATGCAGTTAAAACAATGTAGAAAAAACAAAATGGGGCGTCGATTCACATTGGATGAAAAGTTAATTGCATTAGCATTGATGAAGCAAAGTCCAAAATCATATAGATTATTAGAAAATATGTTTGCATTACCTAATAAGAGAACTTTGCATAGACTTGCAGAAAATATCAATATACAACCTGGCCTGAATCCAAAAATTTTTGAATTTATTAAAAACAAAACGAAAAATTGGGATACCCAACAAAAACTTTGCACGATTGTTTTTGATGAAATATCATTAACACCTCATCTGACCTACAATGAGAAAAATGATCAGATTTATGGTTTTGTGGATGTAGCAGACGAAAGAAAATTGAAGTTTTGCAATCATGCATTGGTGTTCATGGTCAGAGGGATTTGTTCTTCTTGGCGACAAAGTGTAGCTTTTTATTTCTGTGAAGGCACTGTTTCGTCAGCTGCTCTACAGTGTATTTTAAAAGAGCTTATTACTAATATAGCCGAGGCTGGGTTGATTCCTTTGGGACTTGTATGCGACCAAGGATCAACATTTCGAACTGCGATAAAATCTTTGAGGGAGGACACTGTAAAAATAAGAATAAATCAGAAACTAAAAGATGGTAAGTTAAATTTATTATGTAAATGTCTTCATCAGGCTCTAGCTAGACTATCTGTATAGCAAACTTAAATAAATTCAGAAGTTTTGACATGAAAGTAAGACCGTCTGTAAGCAAATTAGACAGATAGAGTTTACTTTTCTAAAGTATGTAATATTATTATGTATAATAGTCTGGTCCGTGAGCACGTGCGAGCAGCGAGCGCGACAGCAACATAATTACACGCGAGCGATAAGGATGGGTAGCTTGTGGTCATTGGACAAAATTCTACGTGCTCACGGACCAGGCTTTAGTATGAATTTTTAGTCTTCCATACTGAATTATAAATTTTACTTTTATGGTTTTAGTTGGTATAATCAGAAACTCTACTTTTTATTAATAACTTCTGTAGCATGACAAATAAATATTTTAATAATTTTAAGTACATAATATTAATTTCCTTCTTTTGTTTTAGATGGCTCCGTTCACATTTCTGGACATGATTTGAGCGTGTTTTTCGACCCACCCCATCTCCTAAAAGGCTTGAGGAATAATTTTTTAAATAAAGATATATTATTTGAAGGCAAGACAGCTACTTGGAAAGATATTCAGTTTATATACGATTTAGACTGCAAGTTGGGGCACACTAGAACCTTACCGAAACTGACTGCTCATCATGTCAATCCTGACAAAGTAAAAAAAATGAAAGTTAGTGTAGCTGCTCAAGTTTTTAGTGCCAGAACTGCAGCAATGTTAAAATTTACCAATGCACTTAGTAAGTATGATTTTTGATGTACTCATTCACTTTGCTTACTTGTATCTACTCTATGGTATTTTTTTTATTATGACAAAAAAATTAAGGAGCAGTAGCTCAGAAACTGCAAGTGAAAAATTTTCTCTTAGAAACATTGGTTGAAATATGAAATATGACATCATTGTGACCTTAATACATAGGTAGGTATATAAGAATTTGAATGTTTCAAAATTGAACTTTGTATATAAGAATAAAGCCAAGGATACATTAGGGGACAAATGTCCTACGATATGTAGCGAAGCCGGCCGATTTCGCCTGACATATCTGGCGACATCGCGCGACTTATGTCAGTAGCGACGTCAGGCGAAGTCGTGCGACTTTGCGAAACTTCGCCTGACATATCTGGCGACATCGCGCGATTTATGTCCGTAGCGACGTCAGGCGAAGACCCGTGTCGCGCGATGTTGCCAGACATGTCGCGCGAAGTTCGGCAACGTCGCGCTACTTCACCCAACGTCGCTGGCGACACGTGTCGCAACACATTTGTCCTCTGATGTATCCTTGGCTTTATTCTTAATTCAATTTTTATCGAGATGTCTGTAACAGTCTTTTGAACAACTTATTTTTTTCTGTTTTCAGATAACTTTAACAATCAAGCACCAAACAGCACAATTGAAACGACGGCCGAGGTTGTGGAGTTCATAGACCAATTATTTGATAGTGTGAATTGTTTACCTGGCGGAGCGGTAAAAGGAAAATTGCGGAAAGCCGTAAAATTTGATTCACCACATCAAACATTTTGGCAGGATGCAATTAAGAAAATTAAATCTATGAAATATGTAGATGTCAATAGTAAACTGGCTGTTCAATCTGGAAAACCTCGACATGTGATAGTACCATCCCTACAAGGTTGGATAACCACCTTGGAAAGTTTTCTAAGGATATCTAAATTATTATTTGAGAAATATCATGTTGTATATTTTTATCCAAGACGAATCAACCAAGACCCCTTAGAAAACTTTTTTGGTCGAATTAGGGCTCTCAATTTTAGAAATGTTAACCCCGATGCAAACACATTTCTTTACTCTTTCAAATCTTTATTATTAAATAATTTGCTGAGTCCTCATTCAAAATTTGCGAATTGTGAATCAGATAGTGGTGACACATTGTTAGACATAAGCTTTTTATTCAGTGACAGTAATGATGAGAATGCAAATACAAATTGTCCCTCAATTTCGATTGACCCTGGCAACAGAGATAAAAGTAATACTTTAGATAGGAACCAAGTAATATTAGAAAAAATCAAGGTACAGTGCTCTGCCTATACTGCTGGTTTTATCTCAAGAAAGCTGTCACAATTTTTGAAATGTAAAAACTGTTTAAAAACCTACACGAGCAGCTCCACTAAAGAAAATGTGTTTGCATACATTAATGAAAGGGAATACAAAATGTTAAAAAATAATAATTTAACTTATCCTTCCGAAAAGTTGCTAATTTTGTATAGGGATGCAAGCACATTGGTGCATAACTATCTAAATGTTAATGGCCACATGAAGAATATTGGTAAACATTTAAAAGAAATAATGGAAACAAGTTTGAGGTTTTCTTGGTTGGGCTGTGACAGTAATCACATGATTTCTTTAAAAAAATGTTTTATTAAATATATTATAAGACTGCATGTGCATAATTGGTGCAACATTTTAAATAAAATTATGAAAGGTGATCTAGAAGAAAAATATGTAACAAAAATGGTAGAAATACATAAAACTGCATTAAGGAAATACAAAACTTTTAGGCTTAGAAAGAAAGCATTAAATAAATGAATAATACAATAAATATTGTTTTATTTTTCTCTGTTTCCAACAACTAATAATAAAAGCCTACATATTTAGGTATAATCGACAAATAATGCGCATCACTATTGCATCGATATTGAGAATGTAGACATTGTCACCACACTATTTCTTAAAAAAAAAATGACAAGCTACAGCACAGATTAAAGAGTATGTCTAAGCTACAGCAGCGCCAAACGGACACGTTGGAAACTTGTGGAATTTTTTACACTGTCGCATCTGTTTTAGACTAATAAGTAATCTGTGTTTCACACTGTAAACAATCCAAAACACGTGAATATTTTTTTCACATTTTGACAGTTTATTTACAACATGTCAAAGTCAATTAAAAAAAAAAAGTTTTTTTTTATCTCAACATATGAAAAGTTTTTGGGTATGGTAAGCTAAGATTTCGCCAAACTTTAATGGAATGGTTATAATACTACACACATCTTGTTTATGGTTTATTCAGGTATTGTGATGGATGATCGGTAAAATATAACTGTCAGTGGAGAAAAGGCGAGGCGTTGTTTTTTGGATTATTTTTGTATTATATTTTTAATTAATCTCATTAGACTGTGTAAAATTGCTATTTATTAATAATTCTGAAGTGCACTGTATCAGAATGGCTACTTTGGATGACAAAATCTTAGGTGAAAAGCTACACAATTACTGTAGTAGCAGTGAAGACGAAGGTGATTCTGAGTACGAAGATAGCAGAAGTGGAGATGAAGAAGGTAACCCGCCTGCTCCGCAGCAGAGTGCCGCACCAGCGCCCGTCAACAGTTGGAATGGCACAGCCAGCAACACTGGCCCCAAAGGAGTTTTGGAAGACTGGCGAAGATACAAACAATTGGAAGCTGAGAACCGTGCAGAATTGGAAAAAGAACGCATCGCATTAGCTAAAAAGCTTACATTATCTGTAAAACCCGAGCGAGAAGAGGCTGAAGAAAAGAAAATAGAAGAACTGGAAGATGAATTGAATGAGTTGGCTGATGAAGACTTTTTGTTAAAGTATCAACAACAGAGGATGCAAGAGTTGATGAATCAGTTACAGAAAGCACCCAAATTCGGTAAAGTGGTGACTTTGAATACTCAGGATGAGTTTTTGAATGCAATCGATAAAGAGGATCAGAAAGTCACAGTTGTCATTCATATTTACAGCAGTAAGTCCATAGCATGTGAGACTATGGATGGTTGTCTGAATGTGTTGGCAACAGAGTACCCTATGACGAAGTTTTGTCGTATATCAGTGGATGTGACGGGTCTGAGTCGTCATTTCCGTGTTGACGGGGTCCCTGCGCTGCTTGTGTACAAAGGTGGCCAGATAATTGGAAACTTTGTGCAGCTCGCCACAGAGTTGGGTAATGATTTCTTTGCCACAGACGTGGAACGGTTTCTTATAGAGTACGGAATGTTACCGGAGAAGTAGTGTAATTTATTGTAATCTGCTTTAAATGCAGTATTATCACTATGGCCTTGAACGCATGTCAGTGTCTGTATGATAGACAGTAGACTGTACCTAATTTTTGTTCTTAAAAACACTAACGTAATGTTTATTATTAGTTGGTATATTGTGGTGTACAAACTTTATCTTGTTTGTGTTGGACTTGTCACCCAATTAAAATAGAATATGAATTAATTTAATGTCTCTTTGTAATTACAGTTCTGTTTATCCTTGAATTGAATTTATTGGTAGGTGATACACTACAGAAACATACACTTAATTATTTAAGAGTTTAATGTAATTAGAATGTAAGATTAGTTCTGGTATTTTTTTAGATAATCCATATTTTTTTAAGTTCCTGGCAATTTTTTACCTCCACCGTACTTTCGGCTGCACTCCTGCTTTGTCAAATAATGTAGACATTTTGAAAAAATGTACCTGTTAAGATTTTTGTCAAGTGTGTAGTTGTTACAATGCATTTTACACATTATTTGTAAGTGTGCTGTAATGTAATATTAGATGTAATACAAGATGTGTTGCTTTTGCAAATGTCTAGTAATATTTAACTTATTCCACCGTCAACTCTGTGTCGTCATTATGTAATGTCATCATAAGCTTTATCTACTTAGGGAAATAAAAAAAACTTTATAGCAATTTATACTTTTTTCTAAATATGTATAAGAGGGGTAGAAGCTTAACTTTTTTGGAAAGACTGTATGAATATAACCTTGATAGATCATAATGAATTTACATGGTAGTAGCCTTTTTATAAGTATCATCAATCTTCTACCTACTATGGGTGCAAATTATAACTATGGTGATCTCATGGTGGAATTTTCCATTCAATCCAGTTAATTGTATGTTAAACTAAGCATTTATTTGTGGCTAATATTGATTAAACCAGATGTCCGAAAATAAAAAAATCTTTGTCATACCTATTTGTTTCATTATGAATAATGAAAAACCACATGTATTTAACTAAGAATTTATTCAAAAGACAATAAAATTATGTCCTTAACATAGTAGTTATACACTTAGCATTGTTCTTTATAAACTTATTCACTTATTGCTATCAAAGACAATCATTCTTAAAATTCACGTCATATCCATCAACCCACCTTATAGATTCAAAAATAAATTAGCTATTAATTTACAAAATATTTATGAAGAACTAGTAGGAAGATACACATTATTATAATACTGTATTAGCAACTAGTCTTGTCTAAATTGATATATTTTCAAACATACTACTACTAATAACACTAACTACAAAACATTTAAAATAGATATAATCATAGAAACAAGTGGATTAAACAGGTACAGCATTGCTATTACCAAAACTGAGTTAGATAACTTAGATAAGTATAGGTATTTAATATTTGATATAACTATCTGCTGCATGAACCTATAAAATGGATTGCCAAACTAAAGTGCCCCAAACGCAACGTACTACGTTGTACATAAACCGTTAGCACAACTCCACGACTTCGTCGGTCATCTCTGTGCGCCTGCGCTTAGGCGGCTTGACGGTGTTCTCATCTTCATCCTCCTCGATGATTTCCATGTCGCTGTCGCTGTCAGCGCGAGTCCTGGTTCTGGAAGGACCAGGTTTCGGCTCGGAACCGTTGGATCCGTTCGCTGGTTTTTCCTCCTCTTTAGGCGCCGGCATGGGGGCGTCAGTGTCAGTCACCAGACGCCAGGATTTCTCTTCATCTTCCTGCTGAAGTCTGACTCGGACTTCGTAGTTTTGAAGGAAGTCATCCACGAGCAACGCGCAGCCGTCGTTCAAGCCGATCTCTTCTAAGGTCTTGTCGTTGTTGTGGTCGGTTTCTCCGGGCTCTGAGGATAGGACTACCAGCCCTTTGCCCTCGACGGTGGCGTCGGGAGCCTGCATGTTGAGGCCTTCTTTGAACGCGGCGGTCAGATCTTTGAGTGTCAGCTGTTTGAGATTGCAAGCGAGACCCACTTCGGGTTTGGGGGCGCAGACGTAGCATTTTGGGTTTGGTGGGGTGAGAGCTGAAAAGAAAGCAAAGTTATATTATAGGGGCGTCTGTCGCATGCTTATCATATTTGGAAGTATATTGAAATGATACTTCTGATAACATACAGGGTAAAGATTGTTAGCCAAAGAACTCGTTAGGGAGGGAGAAAGGGATAACAGAAGTTAACTTATTACCAAGGATTGAAACTACAGTTATGAATTAATTTTTGGCCTCTGCTAAAACTGCGCGCCGTTCTGTATCGAAAAATATCAAAAGCAGCGCATGTGACGTGATTCCACACGCGTGCGGGAGGCATGCATTTCCTTGCATTAATGTGTCAATTCTGTGCACTCGCGCCAGTTTTAGCCGAGGCCCTGAGAGGCAGTGTTAACACATCCATTAGTACATTGGTTCCCAAAGAGGGGGGTATCGGAAACCTGAGACCGCTGAGAGAATGCATTCCAGACTGCTCGATACGACCTGTACGATCTTTGAATGTACAATTAATTTAGGTTGTTTATGTCAGCAATACGCGCCGACCGCGGCGCGGTGGTATCAACTTACAGCAAACTTTATTTCGATATTTCATTGATTTTACATTTAGTGTTTATTCGGTCACCAAACCAACCGCGCGTAATCACTCATACCTTTTCACCATTTCGCACCATTTTAACCTAAGTAGTTTAGACTTTGTAATAGTGTTAGTTATTGCAATAAACTCCTTGTCATAGCAACCAGTGACTTTCCATCCACCATTCCTTTCTTTGAATGTGCGTACCGTACACGACCAATAAATAATCTTGACTGGAGGAGGGGGGGCGCGGAATTTTTTGTATGGTCGAAAGGGGGCGCGTCTCAAATAAGTTTGGGATCCAATGCATTAGTATACAGGGTGTTAGGTAAATGGGTATATGAGCCGACACTAGCCCATGTTAACATGGGCATACAGGGTGTTGATTTCAATACTCGCCATATTTATTTAGGTGATATATTATGACTTACATAAACGCATTATCCACCAAAAAAAAAATTACAAACGAAAGTGGAATTTTTAGCGAATATTTTCCGTGCAACATCAACTGCACTATGGCTCGCAATAATGCAATACGTTTACATTGTGGCACCCATCGAGCTACGCGGATCGCTCGCTTATCATGTTGGATAGTCTACTGAAGGAAGCCACGTAAAGTAGGTAGTGTAAATAGGTATTTTTCTTTGACTAACTAAAGTTAAAGTTCGTTTTAAATTAGTTTGCTGTTTCCTATTTGTGTGTGAGTGTATTGGAGCGCTTTCCGCCACTACCTACCGCGACGGCGGGAGTATTTTCTACACAAAATTACCAGATTATTCACTTCCTACATTAAAAAGGAATCTCCTTTAAGTTTAGAGCTAGGTACTTACCGATGCGACTTCAGATGCGTTTCCACGTGCCTTCCCGTAACAGTAAACCATGTTTACGTATCTACTCACGAGCACTGTACGTATGGTTAGGCATATTCCTAACACTCACTCACTATTACCACACTCACTATCACACGTTCACACACTAACTACTCAAAACCGCACGAGAAAACAATCAAAAATCGCAAATCACATTCGATGACCGAAGATCTTTGTTAACTAAAGATCCGTCCTATCATAATTAATGCTCTTATAGCAAGCTTCCAAAATACTCAAATGCAAATGATTTGTAGTAGCTCAATCGTTATTATTAAAACGATAAGAATATCAATACATTTTGATAGTTATTTCGTGTAAGTAAGTAATGAAATTAAGTTCATTTAAAATAATCACGAACATGATGATGAATTATTTTATGTAAGTTATGAAGAATGGAAGTTTAACCTGAAACTAACTAACAGCCTAACAGTCGTTCAGGGAATTTAAATTAAACGCCGATAGAAATTAAATTACGTTATTATTTTAAATCAAATTTTTACAGAGATAGATCACGGTAGTAAGAAGTTTATGTACTAGAAAACATTTATCAAGCAGAGAGGAAGAGAAAAGTTGAAGTTACAAGGCAAGAAATAAAGAAATAGCGATTGAGTACTAGGAATTCTAAATACGAGCTAGATTTCGCGGAGCGTGCGCGCAGCCTCTCGGCGTGGAAAGCAAAATCGGACTGATGAATGGAGAAAATCGATGATCCACGATTGAGCGCCGATGACGCCCGAAACACGAAGATGAGCGAGCGAAGTATGTATTGCAGTGGTTCCCAAACTTATTTAGTCTACTGCCCACTTTGAGAATAAATTATTTTTTAGCGTCCCCCATTTTTGTAGTCAAGAATCGAGTCAGTCGATGTCTAAGAGTCATCCTCGTAGATGACGCCTCCCAAGCCTCTACACAACGTCCTGATTTTTTTTCTGGGTCTCTTACCGCCCCCCTTTAAGCCTGCAGCGCCCACAAGGGGGCGTTATCGCCCACTTTGGGAAAGACTGATGTATTGATCATCAGTCAGTGCACATCAGTGCGAGCCCGATGTCCGTGCGGCGGTATTAGTATTTAAATGAAAGAAGTGCTAAAAGATAGAAATTTTGTTTAGATACTGAAATCAATCGAGTTTAAAAACAAAATCTTGTCTTATCTCCTATCGAAAGTGAAGGAACAAGAGTTTGCCAGTGTGTTATTTCTAGGTGTTCAGTTTGCGGTATTAAGTAAGTTAAGTTTTATTTTAATAATTACTATCGTAAAGACGTAAAAGTTATTAAGGTAGAGAGCTAGAGATGTAAGGAATAACGAACCTGTATGAAAGAGCATTATTGTCATCTGTTTACAGTACTTTTGAATGATAAGTAGTTACAAGCTTGTCACACACATAAAAGCATGGTTTAATTTAAAAAAAAATAATGTAGGTTCTGTAAAAAAAATTATTTTGCGGAAGGAAGCAAATTCGTGTAAAAGGTTTTTTATTAATTAAAGAGTACTTAATTAATTAGTTTTTAGAACAAAAAATAAACTCGTAACGTGATAAGGTGTAAGTAACTAATTTAGTCATTACATTTTTAGGGTAGATTTGGATTAAGCTCCGTCCAGTATTTTTTAGCGTCCCCCATTTTTGTAGTCAAGAATCGAGTCAGTCGATGTCTAAGAGTCATCCTCGTAGATGACGCCTCCCAAGCCTCTACACAACGTCCTGATTTTTTTTCTGGGTCTCTTACCGCCCCCCTTTAAGCCTGCAGCGCCCACAAGGGGGCGTTATCGCCCACTTTGGGAAAGACTGATGTATTGATCATCAGTCAGTGCACATCAGTGCGAGCCCGATGTCCGTGCGGCGGTATTAGTATTTAAATGAAAGAAGTGCTAAAAGATAGAAATTTTGTTTAGATACTGAAATCAATCGAGTTTAAAAACAAAATCTTGTCTTATCTCCTATCGAAAGTGAAGGAACAAGAGTTTGCCAGTGTGTTATTTCTAGGTGTTCAGTTTGCGGTATTAAGTAAGTTAAGTTTTATTTTAATAATTACTATCGTAAAGACGTAAAAGTTATTAAGGTAGAGAGCTAGAGATGTAAGGAATAACGAACCTGTATGAAAGAGCATTATTGTCATCTGTTTACAGTACTTTTGAATGATAAGTAGTTACAAGCTTGTCACACACATAAAAGCATGGTTTAATTTAAAAAAAAATAATGTAGGTTCTGTAAAAAAAATAATTTTGCGGAAGGAAGCAAATTCGTGTAAAAGGTTTTTTATTAATTAAAGAGTACCTACTTAATTAATTAGTTTTTAGAACAAAAAATAAACTCGTAACGTGATAAGGTGTAAGTAACTAATTTAGTCATTACATTTTTAGGGTAGATTTGGATTAAGCTCAGTCCAGTAATCGTCTTTAAACTCACAGCTGATTGTGGCTGATAGTTGACTGACTCATGGGCGAGCGCGGGTAGTGGGGCGCGGGACGGGGGGCGCAGCGCTTGCCCGGGTCACCGGGTGAGCGCCGCGCGCCGTTTTCGTTGGGGTACTATTCTGCACTGTAGTGGTCGATTATGGAAATCGTAGATATTTAAAAAATAATTTAAAAAAATTTTGAAGTCAGTTTTTTTGCTGATTCGTGATCAGAATAAGCTACTTAATCAACTCCCTAAATATGGCGGGTATTGAAATCAACACCCTGTATAAATGGTATGGTGAATTTAGAAAATTGATATCTTCATTATAATTATTTTAATTTTCATACAAATCGGATTTTATACAATTTATTTTGTATGAAAATAAAAAAAAAATGATGATATCAAATTTCTCACTTCACCATACCATTTATATGCCCATTACCTAACACCCTGTATAGAGGACCTAGTAATCATTGAGCCATTAATAACACTACTCACTGATCTCCGGCACGAACAGCTGTCCGCGGTGGTTGACCTTGGGCCGCAGGTACACGCTGCCGCAGCGCGCCAGCTCGCCGCGTAGCACCGCCTGTGCTCGAAGCACCGCCAGACCTGCCACGATCGCGTTGGCGGTCGCAATGGCTGGGATTATGTTGCCGGCCATCGCTGGGGAGTTTACAATCAGTTCATCATTTAATTTTGGAAGATGCTCCATATTGCACAGACAATAAGATAAGAGCCTTTTTCCTATGATGCGGATTTCCAGGTGCGTGTAGCCCGCATAATAGGAAAAACGTGTATAAAATAATGAAACAATGAAACCACCATGGTTTCCTAAAATCTCGAAACTCCATGAAAATCTAAATTGAAATACTTATCAGCACAGTCAAGAAGGAAATCACAAATATTAGTCAAAAGTACAAAAGCCTGACAGAGGTGGTTAATGACTGAACGACGGCACATTCTGGACATGGAGTCAGAATTAAACATGGTGGCAGTCCCAGTGGATTATGCTCTCATTGCCTATAATCACAGAATAAATCTGTTCAGTCTTCTGACTGACCGCACGATAAAATAAAATAAACATCTCACGTCTTCTAATGTAACTACAATAAAACTCACATTTGATTTCAAAGCGAGACTTCTGCGGGATGTTGAAGATGTGCGCGCGAATGTTCGCGCACGCCGTCACGAAGTCCATGGCGCTTTTCTCGTCCTTGTCCCACACCAGGTGGTCGCCGTCTGGCCTTCCCTTCAGGTCTGCTTGGAGAGCCTTGCAGCTGGCTGCAAACACCTGCAAGTAAAGTAAAAGAAGACACTGTAATTTATTTTTTTACTAGATGACCCCGCGAACTCTGTTCCGCCTTAAAGGCAATAAATAAGCCATCGCAATTTTTCCTTATTTGCTCACCGTTTAGACTTACCCTGGTCTACGACAAAAAATTTAAAACCAAAATCAGCTCAATCGGCCCAGCCGTTCTCGAGTTTTAATCAGACTAACGAATAACAATTCGTTCGTAATTGTGTAGGAGTGTAGACCAAATGGTAAATTAACTAATTAATTTATTTTGTTCGGAAAACAAACAGTGAAGTAAAGGAAGGTCTTCCTCCTACATTAAAGATTAAAATGACATGATGTTATTTTAGACTAGACTCTACTAGCTAGACCTCATCGGCGGTATTTTCGAGCAACTCTGTGAACTTTTTTTTACTAATAGTAAAAAAGTAATTAACAATTAAAACAGAATAACAAAATTTAAGCAGAATCCTTTGTAACTAGTTGTTTTATTACCTGTGCACACTCATGTACAGTCCACACCCTCTGGTCAGGTAGCCCAGAATGTTGTGCTTGCGGCGCATCCTTTCCTGGCAAATTGTCCCATGTCAAAGGCGTGGGAGGCCGCCGTTTCTTCCACAGATTCTCCATTGACAGCAAATAACGGATATCATCTCCAAACAGCTTTGAAAACAGCTTCTCAGGATCATAGTTTGTGTCTGCCGCCCACTGTCTTGTGCTTTTTCGTTCAACGTTTCCGGCTGATGTGCCTTCCGATGATAAAGCTGAAGCTCCTGCTTCGCCCGCTGCTTCAGGGTCTGCGGTGTCAGGGCTGACATCTTGGTCAGGGTCTTCCTCACCAAAGAGTTGGTTGAAGAGATGCTTGGCCCATACGATGCAGTGGATGGGCTCAGACGGAGTGTTACGGATGGTGCAGCCAGGGAAAGTCTTTTGTGGTGCTTTTGGTTGGCATTCGTAGCATTGGGTGAGGCCTTTTTTGATGAGCTCCACCTGTAAGAATCAGGCAAATTATACATTTAACTGTGGGTGTGCTAACTGTGGCATCTTATCCAGCCTTAATAGGGCTAGTTGTGCAACAAAGATGTAAAATCTGATGTGATCTGTACAATAAATTGAAACTCTAAGGCTACTTGCTTTTGGGACATTTAGGCTCAATCAAAGTACTCATAAAAGTTGGTACCTAATTATGGAATCTTTCTTGCACTCATCATACTTAATATTACAAGGTGAAAGTTTGTGATTGTGTATGTTTGTTACTTCTCCAGTTCTATGTGGCTGGAGCGATTTTAAGAAAATTTGGTATGGAGCTAGCTGACACCCTGGATTAACACATAGGCTACGATTTACCACGGGTAACACCGCGGGGCACAACTAGTATACAATAAATGACTAAGGCCCAGAACAGACGGTGAAACGCAACTGCAACGAAACTGCAACTGCTAGTTACTTTTGAGTTGCATCTAAGTTTCTGCCATAGCGTCAGTTGAGAGACCATACATGACGCGACCAGTTTAAAAACTTTCAGTTTCAGTTTCATTCATCAGAATGATCAGAAAGTTGCAGTTTCGTTGCAGTTGCGTTTCACCGTCTGTTCTGGGCCTAAGTCAGTCTTTCCCAAAGTGGGCGATAACGCCCCCTTGTGGGCGCTGCAGGCTTAAAGGGGGGCGTTAAGAGACCCAGAAAAAAAATCGGGACGTTGTGTAGAGGCTTGGGAGGCGTCATCTACTAGGAGGACTCTTAGACACCGACTGAGCTCGACTCTTGACTACAAAAATGGGGGGCGCTAAAAATAATTTGTTCTCAAAGTGGGCAGTAGACTAAATAAGTTTGGGAACCGCTGGCCTAAGTGATGAAGTTATAAAAATCTCACCTGCCCAGCGTATCCAGCAGTGCCAGTCTCGATGAGCGGCACATTAGCAGCAAGACACATTCTGTTCACATGGTTACGCGCCACACGGTTGTCCAGAGCGTTCATTACAAGGTTGAACTGTTTGAAGTAGCTCACTCCATAATCATTGCTGCAAGAAAAACAATATAACTAAAATAACTCAAACAATGAATAGAATAAAAAGTCCAAAATGATCTAAATCAAATAGTGAATTTATATTACTTTATGGACAGGTTCTTGACACTTATAACATTTAAGCACTCCTGCACACGACGCCGCCGCCGCGCCGCTCCTTTGCACTGTTTATACGCGCCGCGTGAAGCCGCTGCCGCGCCGCTGGCGAAATTATACTTTGATGGCGCGGTGGCGGCGTCGTGTGCAGGAGCGTTTACTCATCCTATAATCCCATGTAATGTAATAAACAACTGAAAATTTATTTATGTTTACATATTGATTATTCACATAACTGTTATGGTTTAATTTGATTAAAATGGCAGATAAGTGATTTTTAAATTTCAATTTTTTTATAATATAGTCTGGTCCGTGAGCACGTAGAATTTTGTCCAATGACCTCAAGCTACCCATCATTATTGCTCGCGCGTAATTATATTGCTGTCGCGACTGGCACCCGCAGTGAGTGTGCGAGTGCGTTAGCAACATAATTACGCGCGAGCGATAAGGATGGGTAGCTAGGGCTTATTGGACAAAATTGTACGTGCTCACAGACCAGACTTTAATAAAATTAATATTTTAAACGAAAGCTTGTTACAAACCTTATTACACTGTCATGGTGTGCCACAATGTTAACATTAGGGTTGAAGGTGAGGGCGCTGTCTTTGGCCACTTGTGCCTTGGATTTGCCCACATGCTCTTTGTGGAATAGGAATTGACGGTTCAAGTTGCTCACATCAATTGTGTCGAGATCAATCTGGAAATTTTGAAGTTGTATTAATTAACAGGGACTACTTAACTGTAGGTCTGTTTTTTAGACCAGTGGTTCCCGAAAGGTGGTCCGCGGAACCCTGGGGTTCCGTGGAAAGGCCGCAAGGGTTCCGTAAAAAATATTATCCCACGTTTCGTGACCGACGTTGTTCGCGCGCACCGACTTGTTTACAAATAATTGCATAAAAACTTTATTGTTTTTAATTTAAATTTCCATTTATCAAAGTAGGGTTCCGCTAGGAAAAGTATAATCAATTAGGGTTCCTTGGCAAAAAAAAATTGGGAAACCCTGTTTTAGACTACAGTGAAAGTTAAAGGTTTATATTTTGTTATGAGTACTGTCCAAACTAATATTGACTCAGCAAGAATACAAAGGTTTGAGAGAATGTTTGAGTTTTGAGAAGAGTCAATCAATATTCATTTATCAAAATTATTTATTGTAGGCTGTATTGAAAACCTTTATCCAATGGTTGGGCCTGAGCTAATAATACTAATGCCATGAAAAAGAGGGTCAATAACTAGAAATGCCCAACCTTTTCCGTTTCTACTTTTTCAACCAAATATTACGCTTTCCTACGTGCGTCTACGTCACGAATCGTCACAAAAACAGTTAACGTGGTGTATTGCCAGTTAGAACAAAAGTTAAGAAAGCAGACTTTGATGGTATTCTTGATAAGGTCACAGAAGAATACTCACAATTTCTATTTGTGGAAAGCCGGTAAGCACGAGATTCTTCAGAATTTCACAACCTATACCGCCGGCGCCAACTACCAGGATTTTGGAGTTGGCGATTGCCTCTGTCAATTTCTCATCAAACACGCCGGCTACTCGGGCAACCATTATAATAAATTAATACTTTCTTACAACAGAACAGTGAATCAAGCAATTTTGCAAAATTCTACAATGAAAACGCAAACGAATGGATCTGTGAAATCACCACAACTTCACAACTGTCAAATCTAGCGTCAGTTCCTTCGATCGTTCAGAAATTTTTATAAAACTTAAAATTAATATCTTAAAACTATTGAATTATAAGTAGTTTTGTATTTATTAAATACAAATAGAAATATGTGAATATTTTTTTTATGTTATTAAATACTATTTTAATATTACAACTTTCTTGTTCGCTCGAGAAATGTATTTACAGTAAGTTACAATAGATGGCGCTGCGATATAAAGTTTCGCGCCAAATAAAAAAGTTTCAAAAATAAATGGACTGTCAACAAACTAATTTCGAGGTGGAGCTAGAAACAGCAGTTTTGTATTGTACATTGTACCAGTGGTGGTAGCACAGATATGGATTAGAGGGTGGTAGACTGAGTAATTTGATTGATATGAGTAAAACCCAATTACTTTAGTTTAGATTGCAACGTCTTCTCTATAATTATAAAGTCGTGTGATTTCAACTGTAAGTATTGTTTCATTTGTAGTATCATCTCAAATACAAATACCTACTGAGCACAATACACATAAGTTTTGATTGATTGATTTCCAGAAATCCAGACTGGCCGGTTAATAGCAGCCTGCATCCAGCGCATCCATGTTCATAGGCTTCAATCCCTGACTATTAAGGGCTCTACCATGCTTAGTTGGATTTATACATAATGTATGATTTTTCAAACTTTTTTTTCATCAAAAAATTAAACCGAGTAGTTAAGTTCCTTCTAATGTTTTCTCGTATAAATTTTCCGAGTAGGAAGTATTTTATGTTGTTAATTTTATTGTTCTTATTCATTCGTCGCTTTTCTTAACGCATTAGTACAAGAAAAAAAGCGTAAGTTTCATTTTACTTGAGTCGTTAAGTATTGCTACATAAATAGAGAGATGCGGTTACTAATAATAGTTTCTGACGACATGAATAACTTTTTTGAAAATTATAAATAACTTGAAAAAATCGACATGAATAACTTTTAGCATAAAAGAAAAATGAAAGCATCATGACTGCGGTAAAGCTCACCTGCATTAAAATTGCTTTTAACTTTATGGGATGGCACTTATCTCGCAACGTATTTTTGATACCCAGAGGTTTCAGTGACGTTTTTATTGAACCAACGGGCCGTTAAAATTAAAAGGGCGTTCGAATGTCGTCATCTGAGAAGGTTCGGGCAATTTGCAGGGCGCGAGGTAATAATTCCGTCATTACCTCTGTCGAAATTAAAGGTTATAGCATCGTGATCGGATTAGTAAGGAAACGGGGCGAAACAGGGGTCTACTTGCAAATGATATCGGCTTTATTAATTTGTCTCTTTCATTCATGCTTTTAATGGAGAGGGACTGAGCAAGATAGGCAAACAGGATTGAAGCGGAACCGTATTTCCGAGTGGGATGTCTAACAGTGTTTGCCGTTTGCAGGGCGTCCGTATCGCTCCAGTGCAAACAAGTGGGGGTCAAATTAAAATGGCGGGCGTTCCTGACTCGCAAAATGGCCGGTCGCTTCGGACACTATTTTCCGGATCGCTTGTTTAGCCACCCAGTGGACTGTTTGCGTTCGCGGTTTGATTTTCGCCTCGTAATGTAATTGTAATTGCGGCAATTGGGGGCTTAAATTGTTGTTCCGAATTCTGGGGAAAATGTATTTTATGGAGCGCAGCTTTACGGTTCACATATTGGGACGAGCGGAGTTTGGAATGGTCCTGCTCGTTTTCACCATCAATCCCTTATGCGTCTCCTAACTCAGACTGGTTTATGGTTTGTTTGTTGTTTTAGGCTTTTGAGAGTATCCTATAATTATAATATTCATGAATTATGTATAGTTGGAATATAGTTTTGATTTTGAGAAAGGTGTATCTACTCGTATAATAAGGACAACATAATGTATCAGAATAATATCATTTCCAGAATGATTTTGAACCTAGATCAAACCACAAACTAAACCACAGCTATAAGTACACTTGCAATGCATTCTCTTTGACGATAGCGAACCATAATGTCGATCAAACACATTTATATTTGCGTAATTTTTGTCTGTTCTTGTCACTCTTGGTCATTCTACTACATTGTCAAAAGATGTCATGATTCCGAGATAGCAAAAGAATTTATTTTTGGACACAAAATTAACAGGTTCAGCTTTAGGCTTAACATTTCCTAAAGTAAATCAGTAAGTCTTTACAATGCCTCCGAAGAAAGGAAAAGGGAAAGATGCAAAGGCCCCACCACCCCCTGCAAAAGGCGCGATAGGACCACCTCCGAAGCCTAAAAGGCCTCCACCACCACCAGCATGTTTCAACAATGAAGATCTGGCACGGTTTAAAGAAATGTTCAAAGCACATGATGAGGAAAATATCGATAAGGTAATCAAATTAGATATAATAATGTTTATAAATGAAAAAGTTCACGTTTTTATAATACTTCTTCTTCTTCGTAGGTACCATTAGAAGCGATTCCATTGATGCTAAGAAAGCTAGGATTTAATCCGAAGACAGCAGAGATTCGGCAACTATTCGAAACGTTTTTAGAAGACGAATATGTTGACACAGTCGAATATCACGAATGGCTGTTCATGATCGAAGCCAAAATGGGATGGGGAGACGACTTCGAGCTGGCCGTCACAAAAGCATTCGCAGCACTAGGGCATGATGACGACGAAACGGGTATTTGTGACTTTGAGCTTCTCAGGGAAGAACTGATGACTTGGGGTGAGCCGTTCACAGAAATAGAATTCGTTGACTGGATCCGATTGGCCATCAAAGATAAAACTTTCAACATGGAAGACGGATCGTTTGCTTACGTCAAGTTTATCGAGAATATGAACAATAAGGACGTGAGGTACGCTAAGGAACCGATAAACTTCTTCAAACTTGACCAGAAGACGTTGGCTGAGATGGCGATGAAGAAGGCTCAAGAAGAAAGAGAGGAGCAGGAGAGGAAGGATGCCGAAAAGAGAGCTAGAGAAGAAGCTAAGAGACAGAAGATGATAGCTGATGGGCTTTTACCACCAGATTAAACATAGAGTGATTCAGTGTCGTTTATTTTGGGTGCAAATATTTCCAGTCAATAAACAACTGAGCAGCTGTATGAAATATATTTTAGTGGTTCAGAAGTTAACCGTAAATATTTTTATAGTGTACAATAAACATTTTATATCTATTTTAAGTGTTTCATTGCCAAACGAATAATAATGGCTATTCTAAATTCAGTAGAAAAACACGTTAATACATTAGTCGATTTTTTTTCTCATGAATCCCTTATTCCGGTGCCTACTGTGGCTCGCTTTTGATGGATACGTAGATGGTATCTTATCAAATATTTATTCATAGACCATGAGAATGTAAAAAGTTTTATCAAGACTTCTTTTTTACCAACGACGAAAATTAAAGAGCTATCTTGTGGATTTTTGCTACAGATGACTTTCACACAAGCGAAGGTCTGGTGGCCTTTTGTTTGTTAGATCAATTAACATGATTGTTTGGGCACTTACATACACCCTGCGCGTAAATGTTGGGGGCATGGGTCGGGAGAAAAGCTCGCCATTCATCTCATCAGTAATTTTGGTACATTTATATATATAATGCGGTCTGCCCACCTATTAAGAATAGTTCTTTTTATGCGCTCCTGCTGACCCTCCCCTTCATTTAAGTTATTTTTTTTAGACTTTACTAATGGCTGCGTAAGCGGATGACCATGTAAAAATATTATATTATTAGATATACTTTTCCCAGAACTTTTTCTTGTACAATCACTTGCATCGTTGCACATCTATGTCATCATGGACTTTTTTGTCGAGATGACGTTATTTGCAACTATTACTACATGATTTTACACGCATCTCTGAGCGGAAATAAAAAGCTATGTTTATTCATGGACGTTTATAGGTCGTAGGTAAGTAGGCCTGCATAATTTGTGCTTTACAAAGAAATGGCACGAGCATAATGGAGATGTTTTTTGCATGAAATCTAATTTATGTTAAGAGTATGGGCGAATTGACGACGCGGTAGGTAGGTAGGTACATTATAATGATCTAACATGGTAACCCGATTCACAATTCTTATGGGAATGCCTGAAAGAGGTTTACTTTTGAAGTAAAACAAATCGGTACCTCTTAATAAATGGCAACAAACTGGTAGATATTGTACCGATTCGATTAAATGTAATTACGTAATTGAGCAGGAAAAATTAAATAACTAATTCCTTTTAATTTGGTAGGGGGTCTTAGAATAAAATGAGCTGTATAAGTAATCCAAATTCAATTATTTTTATTTTATTATCCTGCTTTTTCTTATACCTAATAAGTTCAGATTCATGTCACGACGATACTCGTAGTTTCATTCATAGTATTATAATAATGCCTTTTATTACACTACACGTTTCAGAAGTGCTAATTTATCACACGGAACCTTGGTATTTTAGTTACGAGGCTCGCGGCATTTGTTTATGGGCTGAGTGCTACCAAGCAAAAGGGCTGAGAGTTCGTATTTTTCTTTGAGCCTTCCATTCCGATAACCTAATAAAACAATAATTAGACCAACTTTCGGGGACCCAAAAGTTTTCAATCGATTTATGCGCGCAGTATGTCGGAAAAACGGTCTGGGCCGAAGCGGAGTTCATTAATAAGTTTACTCCATTCCTGAAGTCCAGTCTATTCCAGACGGAGATTGTTAAGGAAAAAGCTCTTTGCAAGTTTTTATTAAATTATCATAGAAATCGGGGCGGAGACCGAAAAATTATTGTTAATGATATTCCTGGAAACTTTGGAACGCTTTGTCGGGATCTTAATAATTTCGTGTTGAATTTTGAGTATGGTAATTTAATTTCAGGCAATTACAGTCGGAAGAGATGTATTAAAGTCGGGTACATGTCGCCTTAGGAGGAGGAACATGGCAACTTTTGTGGCAGTTACAAGATAAAAGTAAATGAAAATGTCCTTTTTATTAAAGAGTATTTTCTTAACAAAACATTTTGCCATGTCTTTTTGGGAAAACTTCCTACCTTGTAATAGTAGTTAGAATTATTTGTGTAGATGTACCTATTATAAGCTTCCAAAATTAATTTCTATGTAGGTAAGTTACTGTAGATACCTAAATGTCGATTGGGAAAGCATAATTGCCGGCGGTGTGCTACAAATTAAGTAAAGATTTTCAGGAAAAAGGTTTTTGCACTCTTTCATTTGTAGAGGGTGATAAAAGCCTAACCAGGTCGAGCTAGTTCTATTTTTTATTACAGAGCAATAAGGTTCATAATAGTATGACTATATTGTCGCTGTCTACGAAAGCCGTCTAATTGAAAGAGCCCTAAGGGTAAGTTCTGAGCTTAAACTATTCCATACTCTCATTCATTAAAATACATAAAATGCCTTTAAAACTTGATAGTCATATTAGGGCGAAATAATTAACACCTTTACTTAACTAGCATTTGAATTTTACATTAACCCACGAGATGGTAGCAAAGATAATGAACGTGAACGAAATGAGTAGTTTTTACTATCCAAGTTTAATTAGAAAACAGGAGCATTTTGCATTTCAAAGTTATCTCTTTTGTTGCAACTGATGACATCGTAGTGAATACAGTTTTGAGTAAAAGTGCTGTCTGAAATAAAACTCGTTTCCCGAAGGTTTAGACCAGGAGGCAGAAGCTAGCGAAATAAAAGTAATAAATAAAATAAAAATAAATAAAAGTACACGTAGCGAATAAAAACCAAATTAAGTACTAAGTACTACGATAAAGTTCCGCGAGCTTAATACCAAGTAATTCCACAGTAGAAACACGTAGAAATGTGTATACAATGTATATTATTATGCTTATGTCAGGAGAGGGTTCCAAACAATAGTCAGCGGTTAATGGGTAATGAACTAGCGACCTTCCGTATCCGTAGTCTGAAGCCGAAACCGTTGTTAATTAATGTGTTTTGAATATAGATATGCACTCGTATTTGCCATTATAAATGTACCTAATGTAACATCCTAGTAACGTTTTAGTTACTCCGAAGTAAAAATGCACTTCCTATATCCCTGCCTACAAACAACAGTGTCGCCCTGGTGTCGTGTAGTAAATGGATTTTCACTTTGTAGAGGATGCATTTTTGCCGTACGTTTCGTTTTACTTAAACCAGTTCGCTGTTGAGATGATGGGATGTTTTAAAAATATAGAGTTTGTAGTTTGTATTCTAACAGGTTTTGTAAATTGAAACCAAGGGCGGTTGAAGTCTTTTTAGCAAGTTTTTTTTGTATGATAGTCGATAGAAGTACATAGATACCCTGCTTGGTTGCTATGTAGATTTTTAATGATAGCGAGATAAGACCCAATATACTGAACTGTCCTACCCGTAATATACTGAACTGTCCTACCCGTGACATTGACAGCGGTGCGCCACCGCCAATACCGGATCGCTGGTTCCGATTTTTGCCATGTTGTTGGAAACTATACAGTTGGACGATGGTGATGCCCCCTTCAATGAGTTTGGTGGGACAGTTCAGTTTAGGTCATTTATAGATAGATTACACGTACTAGATTAGACGTAGACCATAAAGAAAAGAAGACGTATCTACAAACACACCTTGTAGATCTTTCAGATAGACTTAATTCTAATTCAGCGTAATAAAGTTTTATAAGCTATTTATACTTCAAATAAAACAAATATACAAGTAAGTTCTACACCACAAACAGAGACAAGTACTACGTCGAAACAAACAATAAAATAGGCAGACAAGTCTACTCGTGCGGGAGTTTACGCCGCGATAGGAATGGCTCCGTAAAGGCGTACGTAAACGGTAAAAGTTTTATTAACAGTTCAGATAAATGCGCTGCTACTATCGCCTAGTTTAAGACTACTTCAAGATATCAAATCAGTTCATGGTGTTTTTGCTAAATAACCTTCGTCTAAGAACTCAATTTAACAACGTTACTACCAAATTAGGTACGTCTATTGACCTAAAGATCGCAACTGTTAATAATACATTTTGGATGCACGAGCGAAAGAAAGAGCAAAGATTATTTAATAGCGTTCCATTTTCCTTTTTGTTCGACACTAGACATAGACTGTAGGTACTTAGGTATCAATTTCAAACTTTTCAATAAAACATAATATTTTTTAACCGCATGCCCCCTGATGAGTTATAAAGAAAAATAAGTTATGTTCTCAACGAGCTCTTGGCCTGCCTGCATCTCACCTGATAGAATTTAAACTGACAGTTTGGAGAAGGCTGTTCTCGTTTAAGTATGTTGTCTTGTTTAAGGCATTTGTATTGACTAAAGTCAGAATAAGATATGAACAGCAATTTTATTCCAGAACTGAAATATCTACAAAAGTACTTCAAACCCTCATAAATATCACCCCAAGAATATTCAAGCGTAGTAAAACAAAATGAACAACAAACACGTGAGCGAACAAACAATAAAACACAGTGACAAGTGCCTTTGTAACCGTTCAGCCACCAGTTCCCGGTAAACGGAAAACTTTTATTGTTACCTGAAACAAATGAGCTCGAAATACAACTGGTTTTATCAAGATTTGTCTTTCTGTAAATCTCTATCTAGTTGTTACGGAAAGCTTTTCAGGGGAACACCGTATTTACACGTTATTGAGAGGAACTATTTTACTGTAGAGCATTTTGAAACTTGAAAATTTAGCGCGGAACATTTTATTTTTTATAGGGTACAACTTTAATGGATTTTTACTTTAAGATAGTGGAAACCTTTTGTTTTTGTACATTGGTAGGATACTGAATGGAATGTTTGCATCGCTGAATTAAGTTTTTAAAATACCTTTCTTTTATACAGACTTTTTGATTTCAATTCGATTTTACCTACTTTATTTATGACGTGGATTCTCTAACAAAACGGCTAAGTTAAATTATTATTTGCCTGGTAGGTATTGCTAAAAGTAGGTATTGTTAAAATTTATTTATAAATCATTTTAGAAATAAGTGTTTTTGCTATATTCTACAGCTTTGTAGAGTCGACACAACAATACTTTTTTCACAAGAATTCAGTTTGACTTCTTTGTTAGACGACTTTTATTGTTGGCACTAAATAAAATTCATTTTTAATATAAAAAGGCTTTTAAAATGTAGCAAACAAAGCTTTTATATGCATGTGTTCACAGCATTGCTTGAATATTGGAAATATTCAACTGTGACCCACAGGTCACAGGTCAGGAATATTGTTATATTCTCGGAACAATAAAAATGCCTGACATATAAAAGGCATATTAAAAATGAAATGAATAAATAATATGCAAGCGTTTAAGCTTGTGTTGGATGCGCACGTGACGTCACTTAAACGTGAGAAGAAAGAGAATGTATTTCCTATTAAAAAAAATTACTACTTTTACACTGCGGAAAAAACACCGCTACGTCTAAGCCTGGTGCCAAGGCCTGGTGTCGAAAAAGCTTAGCACAGGCGCCATTCCCAATTACCGTTATCAGGGCTATCACTAAATAGATATTTGCCAGTCATCGCCAAACGACCTCTGGCGACACATCAGCTAACCTATTTATCTCGTTTAGTTCAATTTGCGCCGGCCCTGCTACATGATTTGCGGGGTCCGAAATGTTTGAAAGATTAACGTACAGACGATAGCACATCAAACTGGACATTTATGTTGCAAAATAGCTACTATTTACAACTGCATAAAATGCAACAGTGTTTAACTGACTTGTGTCTTTGTCACTGTTTAAAAAAAACACAATACCTAATAGTTGTTACTGTTCTAGAAATTATGAACTTTTTAAATTAAGTATAAAACAAAATAGAATGAAGATGAAAGCACACACGATAATATAAACTAAATTAAGACTGGGCGCAGACCACCGATTATTCGTCGGCCAATAGTTTAGTCGGGCTGTTAATCAGTCGGGGCATGTATGGAAGTGCGCACATTACACCGATTTGATTTGGCCGATTCTTCATACAAATTAAAATCGGGCACAACTATCGGCCAACTAAAAACCGGTGGTCTGCGCCTAGGCTTACACATCGATTTCTATAGAACAGCAAATATTTTACTGATTTTAATGATTTCTACGAGTAAATGAATTTATTTATGTGATCTCGAAATTATTTTTTATTATTTAATCAACGAGGGACTGTCAAAGTTAACAAAACAAATGTATTCATAACCGTATACGATATTTGCGAGCGAATCAAATGACTGTTATCGAGTTAAAAGTCGATTTCGGTTCACGCCGTGTGTTATAAACGTTATGAAATTTGATTATTCCGCGTTTATGTTTTCGGAATTGCATATTTTAAATGCTTTAATTGGTTTTAAGGCAAAAAAAGTACGTATAGTGAATACCTGAAAATAGATGAAGAACACCTGTGAATGGTCTGAACTGAATATTGAATAACAACCGCAACAGTTATTTTAAAATAAATCTACTTAAAATAATGAATGACTCTTTAAAATAATGTTAAAATTGAATCATTGGATTTTGTTTATACGAGTAGGTACTAATAGCTTTTGTTTAAAGGCACGAATTTTTGTCTATCTAGTTTAAGATATATTATTATGTACATTTTAGAAGCAAGTGTACTACGGCGGAATATGATATGATAACTTGATAACACTCGCAAATAATTTCTATCATAACGTCATCGATCGTAACCTAAGGCTGGGTTACACCATCTTACTTTAACTTTGACAAACGTCAAAAATCTGTCAAACTCCATATAAAAACACCGGTTATCGCTATAGTTACGGTCAAAGCTAGGTGGTGCAACTCAGCCTAAGTTCTTGCTTGAGTCACTTGTCACAATAACTGGCAAAGTCACTGCGCCGATTATTGGATGTCCAAACAATGACATAAATAATTGATCTTGCGCTAATAACTGGAAGAATGAGGATAACAAACCGCCTCGTTACACACGATTCAGCCGCGCATTTGATTGGAGGGCATTAATTTACTTTCACTCTGTGTTTGGTCTCGTTGCAAGCGGGCAAAGAAAAATAAATAAGAGTAAAATGACCTTTTTGTATTTTTTTCCGTTAATGAATGTGTTTAATTAATTTTAGTTGTCAAAAATATTTTCTCTGTTTTTCATTTTTTTTTTAAATTAAAAAGCTTATTTCTAGCCACCGCTACGCAAAGCAGAGTCATTACTCTTCAAAGGTATACGAGTATTTAAGTCCCGGTTGTAGCCTTTAATTAGATTTATTTTTGAGAGACTAATGCCCGTTTTCACCATCAATCCCTAATTTTTAAGTGACCCCTATGTAAACAAAATTCCTGTTAATGTCATAGGTAATGTAGGCTACTCATTATATTTATGTAAATGTCAACAACAATAAATAATTAACTTAAACTAAAACCTTAAATAATAAAATTAAATATAAGTAATTACTATTTACATACAAAACATATTTACACTTATTTACACATTAACACATTTACATTTATTATTTACATTTAAATACACATACATAAATAACATTTCATATCCTACAAATATTTACACACGCGTAGTAGCCAACAAGTCGAATTATAGCTTCGCGCATCTATCGCGCGAAGTAGCTATCGCGGCGCGGCACAGTGTACTCGCCGCCTGCGAGTGCCGCTCACTACGTCACCGCGCCCGCCTGTTGTTCGAGCCGAGCGTTCGGCGATCGTGGCCGAGCGTGCGCCGCCGCACCTCAAACTAGTCCGAACCTATGCACGACGCGGAGCGCACGCCGCTCGCTCGCTCACTATACCTACCGGCTGACGCGACTATCACTCGTAACTTTGCGTTATTATTTCTTCTTCGCACTCCTTCTATACAAATAAATTAGCGGTACACTCGGCCGCTAAACTGGTGACCCCGATTCAACACAAAAATTGCAACGATGGAAGAACGTAATGGCGGCGCGTCGAAAGGGCAGCACTCCAGTCAAAGCGATACTAGTGATGTTCATCGCGTTGGTGTAAGGAACATCCCATTCTATCCGGACAAGCCATCGCTATGGTTCTCGATGCTGGAAGGTCAGTTCATTTTGTCTAATATTACGAGCGACACGACAAAGTTTTATCACGCTATTGGCATGCTTGACCACCAATATGCCATAGAAGTTGAAGATGTCATCGAGTCGCCTCCACAAACTGACAAATACAACAAATTGAAGAGCGAACTGATAAAACGCCTATCAGCATCGAAGGAGCGTAAGGTCAAACAGCTGTTGGACCACGAACAGCTAGGCGATAGAAAGCCTTCCCAATTTCTGCGGCACTTACAACACTTGGCGGGCCCAAATGTGCCCGAAGACTTCATCCGCACCATCTGGACCAGCAGACTACCTAGCAGCATGCAGACCATCATCGCATCGCAGGCCACTTCATCCCTGGAAAGCGTAGCTGATCTCGCGGATCGTATCCAGGACATCGTGCCAGCATCCCCGTGCGTAGCATCAACCTCAAGACTACCGTCATCACATCATCAAACCACTGACGATAAGTTTGACATGATGGCGAAGCAGATCGAGAGGCTGACACAGCAGGTTCACGCGCTTACTGCACGTTCCAGCAGATCCAGATCGAATGCCAGGACCAGAGACGGCAAAGGTAACCGCAGTCGTAGCAGATCCCAGGCCAGTTACCGCAAATATCCGATATGCTGGTACCACTCGAAGTTTGGCAGCAAGGCTCATTCATGTGTCAAGCCTTGCAACTTCCAAGCGGAAAACGGACAGGGTGGTCGGTAATGGCGACGGACGATTACCCTAACAGCCACGGTCGCCTATTTGTCACCGATCGGAACACCAAAACCCAATTCCTGATTGACACTGGAAGTGATTTGTGCGTGTTTCCCCGTACGGCATTTAAGGAACGACGAACTAAGACTGACTATGAACTAAGTGCGGCTAATGGAACTGTAATTCATACGTACGGTTATGCAAGCCTTCGGCTAGATTTAGGCTTGCGTCGGGACTTTGTGTGGCGCTTTGTTATAGCTGACGTAAATAAAGCTATCATCGGCGTAGACTTTTTAGCATACTATAACCTTGTAGTAGATATAAGAAATAAGAGACTGATTGATAATGTTACGTCATTAAACACTTCAGCCGTAGCAGCCGATAGACATAGTGACATCTCGTCTGTCAAAATTTTGACAGGCGATTCCACCTATCACGAAATCCTTAGGGAATTTCCAGACTTAATTCGACCTGCTGGCTCACCACGCTACACTAAACATAACACAGTCCACCACATACGTACAACTCCTGGCCCACCTGTGTCTAGTACACCTCGTCGTTTAGCCCCCGATAAATTAAAAATAGCCAAACAAGAGTTCGACATCATGTTGCAAGAGGGCACAGCAAGACCATCTGACAGCCCTTGGTCAGCTCCACTGCATTTGGCTCCCAAAAAAGATGGCTGGCGTCCCTGCGGTGATTACCGTCGATTGAACGCGCGTACGATCCCTGATGGATATCCGGTAAGGCACATTCACGACTTTACACACAATCTTTCAGGTTGCAAAATCTTTTCAACAATAGATCTAGTCAAAGCCTATAACCAGATACCTATCAATAAGGACGACATTCCCAAAACGGCGATCACAACACCTTTCGGCCTCTACGAATTCCCCTATATGACCTTTGGCTTGCGCAACGCAGGTCAAACTTTTCAGCGTTTCGTAGATGAGCTGACTCGCGGCATGGATTTCGTCTACCCATATTTAGACGATTTTTTAATTTCATCCCTTGACCCCTTGTCCCACCAAAACCACCTCAGACAACTTTTTAAAAAAATGTCCGAATATGGTATTTTAATAAATACGTCAAAGTGCGTCTTTGGCGCCTCAGAGGTGACGTTTTTAGGGTACAGGATATCGGCAGACGGCATTAAACCACTCGACACGAAGGTTCAGCCTATCAAAGATTTCCCTAAGCCAGTTACTGTC